AAATTTCACGATAATAGCCGAACTCGCAGAAGAGAGCGTGAGGAGGGGGTTACTTAGGGGGTGTTTGTTTCAAATCCCAAAATTTTAAGATATGGATTCCAACATAGAATTTGAAATCCATAATTTTTTGGGTGGGTTTTGGGATCTTTAAAATGTTGTTTGTTTTAACAAAATTTTAGGATATGAAATACCAAAACTTAGAATGTTTTGTTTGTTTCAAACTTAAATTATAGCATTACAAATTTTAGAATTTGAAATCCCAAATTGTAGCAAACAAAATTTAGGATCACCAAAATAATGATTGGTGAATTTAAGAATTTTTGGTGAGCTTACCCCCAATAAAAAAAAACAACTCTTGTATTTACTCTTCAAGCAAGCCCACAACAAAAGATGAAACTGAAACTGAAACTAAAACTGAAACTAAAACTGAAACTGAAGCTTACCCAAAGCATGCTCTCCTATACATGTTAGCTCAGTCAAGGTCACCAGCACAACCACGTCCAGCAAGCATACAAGGCATACAAACCTAGCAACAAAACCCAGCAACCCAGCAACAAAACCCAGCAACCCAGACCACCAGCGGCAAAAACACAGACCTCCAGCAACAAAATCACCAGCTACCAAGCTTAAAGCACAAGCCATCAAGAACAAGTCAACAAGCAAACTGTATATGAGAGTCAAAATTTTGTTTCAGGCCCCTTTAACAAAAAAAAAATAAACAGAACCTGTATATGAGACTGTGTACAAAATCACCAGCTAGTATGGTTCAAGCTTTTCTGCATAAAGAAAAACAAAGCAATAAAGTACATAGAACAAATATTGTGCATGAATGAGATTACCAATAAATTTGAAGTAACCAAACCAGAAATATCTAGGGTAAAGACTTACCTGTGTACAAAATTAGTCTTGAGAAACCACAAATAAAGGAATTGTTCTCATGAACTGTCAATAAAACAATTTGATGGGAGAGTTCTCTCTCATTAGCTCAAAAACAAGCATTGAAAACAACCCAAGCACAACAAATAGTGTAGAACACAACAAATGGATAGGGCTGTTTCAATACTCAGGATAATTCTTAGAAAACTAATTAAACGATATAGTCAAGCACAACAAAGTCTGATTTAATGATGTAGGAGAATAAAGCCACCAGCAACCATAACCACGAGATTATGAATACCAAGGCTGATAGAATAATGATGTAGAGGAATAAAGAGGTAATGTAGCCAAATCAAAAGCAACAAACCCAGCAGCCCAGACTAGCAGCATGAAATCTCATAATAGGACCAAGTTAGGGGCTCAGATATAGGTATTAAAATTGAATACATGGATTGCCTCATCTAACAATGGTGTTGCAATGTAGGTTGCAATCAAATGAATGGATTGCCTCACCGATGTTGTGGATGCAATGTAGGTTGCAATCACATAAATGGATTGCCTTACCTAACATTGTAAATGCGATGTCGGTTGCATTCTCATCCTAGATTGCCCTACCTAAACATAGCAAAACATTGTAGATTGCATTCTCTTTTTTAAGACCATCATCATTGCCCACTTAGAAGAATACAAAGTACCCATTGAAAACAACCATTGAAACAAATACTCTTGTATTTACTCTTCAAGCAAGCCCACAACAAAAGATGAAAACTGAAACTGAAACATAAGCTGACCCAAAGCAGAGTCTCATATACATGTTAGCTCAGTCAACGTCACCAACACAACCACATCCAGCAAGCATACAAGTCATTCTAGAATAATGATGTAGAAGAATAAGGAGGTAATGTAGCCAAATCAAAAGCAACAAACCGAACAACCCAGACCACCAGCGGCAAAAAAACAGACCTCCAGCAACAAAATCACCAGCTACCAAGTTTAAAGCACAAGCCATCAAGAACAAGTCAACAAGCAAACTGTATATGAGAGTCAAAAAATTTGTTTCAGGCCCCTTTAACAAAAAAAGTAAACAAAACCTGTATATGAGACTGTGTACAAAAGTTGAAACTGAAACTAAAACTAAAACATAAGATGAAACTAAAACTGAAACTGAAACATAAGCCCTCCAGCAACAAAACCCAGCAAACTAGCAACCCAGGCCAAATCAAAAGCTTATGACTCTCATATACAGCAACAAAACCCAGCAACCTAGCAACTGAAATTGAATCATAAGCCCTCCAGCAACAAAACCCAGCAACCCAGCAACCCAGGCCAAATCAAAAGCTTATGACTCTCAGCCCTCCAGCAACAAAACCCAGCAACCCAGCAACCCAGGCCAAATCAAAAGCTTATGACTCTCATATACAACAACAAAACCCAGCAACCCAGCAACTCAGCAACCCAGGCCAAATCAAAAGCTTATGACTCTCATATACAACAACAAAACCCAGCAACCCAGCAACTAAAACTGAAACTGAAACATAAGCCCTATAGCAACAAAACCCAGCAACCCAGACCAAATAACCCAGCAACTGAAGCAACTAAAATTGAAACTGAAACTGAAACATAAGATTATGAATACCAAGGCTCATAGAAAATGTACATCAACGTAGCCAAATCAAAAGCTTCAAACCCAGCAACCCAGACCACCAGCGGGAAAACTCATAATAGGATCAAGTTAGGGGCTCAGATATAGGTATTAAAATTGAATACAT